CCCCCCCCCCCCCCCCCCAACCTTTAAAAAAATTCCTATATACTTTTATGATCTTGGGAAATCTTGGGAAATTTCATGACCAAATCTTGGGAAAGTTTTAAAAAGTGAGTGGCAGCCCTGCGCGTCAGGCCACAGGGCCACAGATACTGGCGACTGGCGTGGGTAGCATGAACTATCTTGGTTGAACATCCACCACCTTGATACAACACAACGTATTTGAATGATGAAGCTAAGCCGGCTTAATCAATGTTGAATCTTTGTACAGAATCAAAATCGGCCTCAAAATCTCGGTGAGTAGGACATGCCTTAAATAAAACAGTAACAGTCAATCTGCATCGGTCGGTAGCAATGACTCCATGACTCTGATTGAATGTAGGTACTTTGGTGGAAAAAAAAATATGAACCAATGACATAATTGAATAGAGCTTATTTTTAACAGAATTTAGACACCAAAATCACATTTTTAGCTATTTTAGTTTTATAGTTATGAATTTTTGAAAAACTGTTATTTTTGTCCTTTTTAAACATGCATTTTTCTCAAAATTTTGGTACCCTCTTTTTGTTTGTTTTGATTTTCAGAAGTTATAACTATGTCAAAACTTGATGGAAAAAATCTCTAATTAACAGGGAAGCTTTGTTATCATTATACTTCATAGAAAAAACAAAAAAAATAATGAAAATTTTCAGGAAAAGTCCTTTTTTAAATTAATTTTATTCAAATTTACCTACAAATCGCAACCGCAATGATTTAATTCTTTAAAAAAATCATAACTTTTTTATTTTCAAAGTTTATGAGGTTAAATTAAAGGGAATTACACTTTATATTAAGGATTCTCTTAAAAATTAATTAAATACAGAAAATGTCCATGCAATGTTTGTATTTAGCCATATATAGGACTTATGTATCAATTTTTTTTTAAAAACCAACCCAATCGAAAAAAAAAATAATTTTAAATAAAAACCATAGTAGGTACTTAGACACAAAATTGAAATATTGTCCGATTGCCATGAATGATACATCATTTTAAAGGGCTAGCCATAAGCTTTATAACAACACAAATTTTATCTTTCTATCTTTTATAGAACTGGAGTTATGATTTTTTTTGTCAAATTTTTTATGCCCCTTACATAAGCTATATATTTGACCCAAAAAAACTTGTGACCCACTTTTCAATTTTTTCCACTTTTTGACCCATAACTTTTTAATTTTTAAAGATAAGGGTACCAAATTTTCAGCACATACTCTCAATGCAATGTAAAACACAATGAAAACAAAAGTTACACTGAAAAAAAATTTTTGCAGAGAAAGTAAAAAAACAACTTTTTTTTGGTAAAATTTATTATTTCTTTACATGAAAAAGAAAAAAAATTGCATGTTTATTCAATTTTCAAGTAATAAGAATATCACATAAAAATTATAATTTGATTATAGACATTATATGTTCTGTAGGGGATTTAAAAATACCTGAAAAGAAAAATAATGAAAAATTAATTTTATTTTTATAAAATCAAACCATATTATTAATATAAACTAATTACATGAGATAAAACAGTGCTACTACTTAATACGTCCTGAAAAGAAGTATAGAATTGTTATTAATAAATTATTCAAATACTGAGTCAAAACAGTTACACTGTAACAAAAAAAAATTGTGCAAAGTCAGTTTGTAAATAAATTACAGACAATAAATGTTAAACTAATACTAATAATATCAACACTTATCTGTATGAAATGAAGAATTTAAAATATTCTGAAAAAAGAAAAAAAAAAGATGTGGTAATGATTACTTTAAGGGGGTTAACTACCTTCATTTTCATTTTTTAAATTATTAACATTTTAACATGTTTAAAGTTTTTATATTATGTATATGGGCTTAGATAAGCAAAATATGTTGGACAAATTTAATTATTTTCAAAAATTTTACTCCAGCGGAGCAAAATGGGGGTCGAGGTGGTAAAATTATGGGAATCATTGGAAGTGTTTTATATAAAAGCAACAGCAGGTACAGGTCTCAAATTTTGCTTTTAATAAGCCACAAGCCTACTAAATATGATAACATTGAGACTTTGGGTAGAACGATAGCAGACTTTTTTTTTTTAATGTTCATTTGGTGCCCTTTTTTTTTTCTTTGGCCGCACATATTTTTCTTAAAAAATACCACTTTAAGTTAAAATATTTTTTTAATGATCATTTTTAACCTAACCTGCTCTGTCACTATGGACTTAAACCATATTTAAACAAGTATACACAATTTCAAAACAATTGAACAGGTAGATGCATAGCAAAATGAATCCTAACATTCAGTATCCTTTAAAAAAAATTATTTTGAGAAAAACAGAAATTAAACTTTTCTTTGAAGAAAAGAAAAATTTATTCATAATATAAGCAAATAAAGTCCATCTAATTCAACATAAAAATCATTTGGCAAATTAATAAGCAAAAAATTGATGTAAAATTATGGAAAATAAATTTTTAGTGACTAATAAGCAATGCCCACCCTGATCAAAAAAAAAAAAAAAAATTCATAAAAAAAGATGATCTTAA